TGCTGCTGGTTGGAAGGAATGTGTCAAACACTGAAGACTCTGATGATCTGGCCTGTCCAAGAGTTGAAAATTGTGGTGATGTCAACATAAATGGTGAAGAAACATGTACTCGGATGCTGAGAGAGATCAACAGATAATTAAGGAAAGCGCTACCAATTAATTAATTAATTCCCTTTGTACTGCTGGTCTCTTGTACTTGTAACCAGTTATACAATAATCTACGTTGTTCTCTTCAGCTTTTCTCTGACACTTTTGTTGTCTTGGTCCTGCACTTAGTAAGTGTCATGTTCATCTTCCCTTTCAACTCTCTTCCCAGTTTTGAGAGTGCTAGTTATTTCATGTCTTATTCCTATGCAGTGGAACCTTAGCGCTTGTTCAGACAACACTGGGAAAGGATTTGGTAGCTATTTCCTCTTAGACCGATAATGCTGATGTCTGTCACTTCGGCTTTTTACTGGGAAAGATGAGGTTGTCCATTCAAGTCTCTGTTTCTACCCTGTAAAATAAGTGATCTAGGAATCCATATGAATGTGAGATGTACTTATACATACACTCTTACCGTGACTGTGTTAAAAGCAAACTGTTTTGCCGACAATTCTTTCTAGCAGAAATTTCCTTCACTTTTGGAGTGACTGATGTTAACTACTCCTGGGCTTTCACAAACACGTATATACTGTCACATTGAACTGGAATTTCTGTCTATGCTGCATTTTAGATTAATTCAACACATATCCTTGCAACAGCTTGAAGACAGAAATACCATTTTTCATCTCTGAGCTTAGTGTAGTGTTCCAGGTGTAGAAAAAGAAGGAAAATAATTCCATTTCATAGGATACTTGAAAATAATTCAAAGGCTAGGTGTAGGTTTCATCATTTTAATTTTCCTTCATGCAACAAAGGTACTGTTCTAAGACATTTCACTGCTTAAGTAAAGTGTAGGAAGGTGGATGTGAAGAGAAATTAGTGAATTGGCCTAAATAAACAACAAAATTGGGCCTATGTAAGGCTCTGGCAACCTGCCATATCAGATCCTCTGCTGTAGGCATGAGTAACACTTGCATTTCCATATCTCCTCAAATTAAGCCCCATGAATATGAAAGAAAAGGAACTGTGATGAAGAAATTATGGCCTTTTAAGAGATGTATATTTCTATATACATGTGTTAAAGAACCATCATATAAGATGCCAGTTGCCAATATGTACACGTGCATGTATATGTTGATTTTTACATGTAGTGTTCATTTTAGGAAGGTGTGTGAGGAATGAGCAGTATCTGTGTAATGGTGACAGATTTTCCCAGTTCTTAGAACCATGTTCTGATGGGCATTGAAAACAGAGTCCATGGCATGTCTTCTAGAATTTCAGTGGTGAAAATTCCAGCTATGCTTATAGGTATGCAAATCAGAGAAGGATCCTGTAGTGATTTTTACTTAGATATTTGCATTTCTTGCATTGAGTTAATGACTAGAATCAAATTAATGTTTTGTTATTGGAAAAGAGACCAGGCTGTGGTTTAGAAAATAAATGTGGGCTATTGTCCTTGTTTCTTTCATTAATTTATTGATCATTTTTATCACTGATGATTTTATATCATTTATGAAGGATTTATTGATTTACCAGCCATCTATAGCCAACCAAAATACAATGTGTTGAAATGATCACAAAACTGAACTTCTGAAAGTAACCCAGTTGCTTAATCATTTTATTCAGAGCCATTTCTGTGAATGACTTTTATCAGTGTCCAATAGTCCACAGTCCCGTGCAGTATGACAGAAAGAACTTACTTTACGTCCAATGCAAAGGAACTAAAGGCCATATACCTTGTTAAAATTCAATCATAATGATGCAATTTTATAATATTTCTCCTTCAGGGAACAGAAATCACATCACATAGTAGTTATGATGAACTTGCTCTTCCGGCAAAAAGAAAAGCTTCTATGTAAACTACAGAAAATCCAGGAAAGTCTCTAGTGGAAAAGACCTTTGGTTCAAATGCTGGAATCTGTACTTTATGCTACATTTGAGCAGTTTCCTAGAAAATCTTGTGGGGGTTTTTTTCTGGACCTTCAATGGAAAGAGCTACAAGACAATGTGATTTGCATCATCTCCTAGTGCTAGGGTTAGAGCAGGATGAGCTTTGAACTCTGTTTGTTTCTGGATTTGTTTTACTGTACCCCTTCCTTAGTCCTGCTGCCTTCACTAATCTTGATACAGGCCTTTTTGGCCACCTGGGAATACTGCAGGCTCATGTTCAGCCAGATGTCAACCAGCACACCCAAGTCCTTTTCTGCCAAACAGCTCTTGAGACATTCCTCACCAAGCCTATAGGGCTGCACAGAGTTGTTGTGACCCAAGTGCAGGACCCAGCACTTTTGCTTTTTGAATCTCATGCAGTTGTCCTCAGCCCATTGATCCAGCCTGTACAGATCCTTCTGTAGAGCCTTCCTACCCTCGAGCAGATCAACACTCCCTCCCAACTTAGTGTTGTCTGCAAACTAACAGAGGGGGCACGCCGTCTCCACGTCCAGATCAACAATAAAGATGCTGAAGGGGATGTTTTAGAAGGGTCTGATTCCATGACACTCAAACTTCAGGTTGCAAACTGGTAGGTTTAAGATGGTGAACTCAAATGAACTTCCAGCTTGCAAATAAAACAGGCAAAAGAGAAAAATGCCTATTCTCAGACAAAATGCATGGCATGAAAGGATCCTAATCCCAGTAACTATCATTTTCCTACTAGTACAGGGGTTGGCTTTTTTCTTTCCCACAACAAAGCTTTATTCAATTTATTTAATAATTTATCAAAGGGGATACAAGGATTTTGTAGACAGGCTATAAAATGCATTTTTATCCATATTTTTATCCATATGACAATAATGAGTTAGCTGATGTGGTGCGTTGACCTTGGCTGGACTCCAGGTGCCCACCCAGCTGCTGTATCACTCCCCTTCCCCTCCCGGGACATGGGAGAGAGTAAGGTGGAAAAAAACAACTCGTGGGTTGGAATAAGGAATTTTATTTAAAGCAAAAAGTAAAGTGAAGCTTGCACGTGCAGAAGCGAAGGATAGCAGGGTTTATCCTCTACTTGCCATGAGCAGTGATGGTCGGCCACTCCCAAGAAGCAGAGCTTCCGTACGTGTGACGGTTCCTCAGCAGGCAGCCATTAGGCAATGAATGCCCGCCCTCCTGCTCTGTGCCTTAGCTTTTATATCTGAGCTGACATCATATGGTATGGAATATCCTTTTGGTCAGTTTGGGTGAGCTGGCCTACTTGGGTCCCCTCCCAGAATCTTGCCCTCAACTAAAGAAGAAATATTACAGTGCTGATGCTGTGCTCAGCAGTAACCAAAACACCCTTCTAGCTGCCAATGCAAAGCACAGCACTGTGAGGGCTACTGTGGGGAAATGAACTCCAGTTCAGCCAGACCCAATACGGTTGGTCAGTTAGAGAAAGAAAGGTCTACCAGAAGATTGACCCTATAAGGTGCCTTCCAATATTCCGTCTACTTTCCCTCTCAGATTCCAAGATGCAGGTTAATGCAGAGTTAACTTTTCCATTTAGTTCTCTGCAAAGACAACCTTGGAGGGAGGATCTACTCAAAGAGCCAGGAAAATAGCACAGGAACCTCTTTTGAATCTCATGACCACAAGGAACGTGGAGTAATGTAACATAAACCAAATTGTGTGAGAGCAGCTACCCAGGGTCTCCCTGCTGATCAGCCCTGTGCCTTATAGCTCAGCCCAGAGCAGGAGAAAACACGGGATTTATAGGTTGAGCATAGCCCATGTGTCTTGCTTGTTCCTTGTTCCAAGTGAGGGGACACCATGGAAAGACAGAAAATAGACCAACCTTCTCAACATGTGTGTTTTGTGGTGCTAAGCTGAGAACCAGCATTTTTCACTGCTGGTGACAAGGCCACCTTAACAATATTGTTACCTTGTCCTGAATTTTCACCAGCTCTGTTAAATGGTATAAAAAAGTTTTCGTGCAAGCTGCTGCTGTCACCTGTGAAACAGTTTATTTATACAGGGAAGGAAAACTCCAACACAATTCATCCTTTAACTTGGTATTTTTAAACTTTTAAAATAAAACCATTCTGGCACAGACTCACTTCAAATACAGATATGTTCCTTCAAACATATTGACAACAGATTAACAACGTGAAAACCAGATACATTAAATCAGAACGGGCTTCATCAATTCAAGACTCAAGTCATATATACTTCAACCACAATCGCTTTAAACGAACATGAACTCCCACTGCAACTGAAAAGGGTTGTGAAGTTCCAGTCCTAATGTAACAATAATGTGCTGAGATTTTTCCTATTAGCTCCAATCATAGGATTTTGAGGAGTCTTCTGGTGTATCTTTTTGCTGGGAACACAGACAGTGATTACTACTTCAGCAAGAGCAGGAAGTTCAAAAGGCCATGTCATTCTCTACTGAATCATACTGGAATCTTAAAGATACCTTTAGGAGCAAGAAAGATTTTTCTGGATTTCAACAGTAGTTGAAAAGGATCAGTAAGAAATTCTGAAATTATTGGGAGTTCCTTAGCATCCTCATTATAGGCTTGTAGTCTCCAGAAAGAGCCTTCAAGAGTCCTATTCACATATAAGCTTTGAGCTTACCTGTGCACAAGCATGATCTGTTCTGTTAGTATCATGATTTGTAAATTAAAGCATTTCAGGTGATGACATTCTTGTCTGAGTCTTGGCCTTGTTTTTCTGTTGTCCCAAAGAAACAGTGGTGATTTCCAAGGAAAACACAGCAACTACAGTACTTGCATTCCACAGGCAATCCTCATTGAAAATGGGAGAGAACTTACACAATTCTCCATAACCAAAAATCCCATCCACGTAAAGCAAATTCCCACCTTCTACATGATTCCATGATGCCCTGATCTATTCATTCTGACTTCTATTATTCTGTACCTGTGGTGACTCCAATTTGGTTAATTTGGACCTAAACTAGAAAATCCAGGCTAAGTCATTGTCTTTTACCGGGATCTAGTTCTGACACGACAGTTTGCGTGGTGCAAAATCCTAGCTGGGACCTCTCGAAATCTGGGATTGCTCCAAATTAGGACCACTGAGTGTCCTGCAGAACAGGCAGCTGTTACAACTGAACACAGGGATTTCCCAATGCTTAAAGGTAAAAAAATATCACTTATAAGGAGGAGCAAACAAATAAAATATATAATGTAGAGAATAAGGAAGGAACAGACTGACTTGATGGCACTCATATGGGCTTCTAAGCCGGGATCCCTGTAGCCACTTGCATTACTTTGCATCTTCCTGGTGTGTATCCACAGAGACCGAATCAGGAGAATACTTGAAACAGTAGACAGTATTAAAGGGAAAACTATGCCTGCATTACTGAGAACAATCAATAAAACCACAGTGTCTTTCCTTGTGACTCTCATTTCTGAAGAGTTTGCCGTGGTTAAAGGAGCAGTGAAGTTGTTGCGCATGCTGTAGACACCCCAGGTGAATGGAAGTGCGGTTGTGAAGGAGTAGAGCGACGATGTGATCAGCAACCAGGGCACAAGACTGGCAATTCTTTGCTTCAGCCAGATGAAGAAGGACTGTGTAAAACTGGCAACCTTGACACAATAGAAGACACTAAGCCAGGCACAAGACCAGAAGCCAGAGTAGTCAAGAAATACAAAAACTGTCTTATTAACTACAAACGCATTTCCTTCATAACAGGAGGAACCACAATATACACTTATTAATGAATTCAGTATAGTCCAGGACTGCAAAATGACACTGCATAAACTCAGAGAGATCATGATCATATCATATGGAGACCATATTTTGCTCCTGATGCACTTAGATAAACTGACTGCCAAGATAATTCCAAATCCTAGAATTCCTGCCATGGATTCAATTATAGCAGTTGATAGAAGAAGGAGGGCAAAAGTCGTGACCATTGTGACCCAAGAGCTTGCAGTTCTTGGTTGGCTTCTCCTGGGTTCCTGAAAGCCTCAGATCTGCAAGGCAATGTCAATCACAATGAGCTGTTACCGGCACATGCTCACCTATTTATCTCGGGGGACAAGTATCATAATGTCGTTCAATATTTATGCTATTTTACACTTTTTTGGTGGTTGATAGCTCAGCCAACTTATCTAAGCATGCAAATTGGATAAAGATTCAAATACAGTGTTTTCAGTTTGGAGAAGGGATTTGCATTTGATGGGTCATACAGCTGCTGAACTGCAGCTTTGCACTCCAGTGTCTGATGTCCCACTTTACATGTCTAGATTTGTTTTTTATATCTGACGCCTTAATCTCTCCCTGACTTGCACAATTATCACTTCTGGGTTTATGAGAAATACTTGCTCTTCAGTATGGCTTCTTCTCATACTGGGTCAGGTCCTTTTTTTTATCAGATAGCTGCTATAAAGGGGTTTGGTGGGCACCTGACAGCCAGCCAAGGTCAACCCACCACAGATACAATGGTGTTTCATCGTCAACACCTCTGTCATTACAAACTATTGTAAAGATTTTACTTTTTCAAAGTCTTATTTTCATGAAATGAATCACATCAGTGTAGCACCTTGTGCCTGTCAGGCTCCCTTTCTTTGCTGCAATAGCACATCTGTGGATACCAGGGTGAACTAATTCCAGATGTATTGCTGTGGATATAACCTTACCACTGGATCCTTCTCTTGAATGCCTGTCAAAGCAGCCGTTCCACTGGTCTTTACACTTGCACAGCTTTTCCATAAATAATTTTTGTTAGTTTTTACTAAAGAGTAATTTACTGTGGTAGATCTTTCCTTCCGTGGCTCACAGAAAGTAGTTCTTCATGTATTTCATTATTGAAAGAGAATTTTCAATAGAAACAGAATGTTCAACAGAATACCAAAATCTGAGGCATTTTAGAAAAGTCTGTACTTTCATCTATCCAAAGAGGAAGCCTCTTCCACTGTGTCATTTTTACTGCTACTTGTTTCTTCACACTCAGCAGTGTTTTCTATGCTTCTTCCAACAGTGTTTACTGATGAAGGAATGTATATTAATTTGCTGCTCTATTGGTTTCTGTGCATTATCACAGTCATTTTTACATTTTATGGCAGAAAAAATAAGCATTTCTCTGGTGCTATGTGGCTTTTTGTCTTTTGCTGTGAAGTAAGAAACCTTGAAGGAGGTTTCTACACTTAATTCCTTAATTCTACACTTAATTTGTCATTAAGTTCGGTGAAATTTTGCAAAGTACTGGATTAAATGTCATATGGCTTTAAATGTTACTGAAAAAATTGTAGAGGTTTGTTTTCATGTTCTGGGTGCTTAGATTTTAAGTGTCTTGCTAATTCTGATGGTTTCATAGTGTCATTAGTTAAATTGCCAAAGCTTATTATAGAAGGTGAGGTTTTTCTGTCTTTGTGATCTGCATGGCCAACTGTGTGCTTGAGTGTTCTGACTGTGTGTGCTTGTGTGTGTTTCTATGTATTGTAGAATGATAGAATCATATAATGGCTTGGATTAGAAGGGACCTTACAGATCATCTAGTTCTAATTCCCCCACCATGGGCTAGGACACCTGCCCAAGGGGTATGTGCTTGGCCCCACTACCTAGCTTGATCTCAGGAAAATAGAGCCATAGCATCCATGCATCATCAGGATAATGGATCCATCAACTTGTAGCAATACAATCCATTCATTACAGAATCTAATTAAGTAGAATAGTAAGTATAGAGACTTCTCTAAACAAATAGTATAAATACTATCTCTGCTGGAGGTGTTTCAACAGAAGAGGTTGGATATTTAATGAAATTACTTAACAATGGACTAACATGTGTTAGTGGTTATTAACATACTACAGTACCATCCTAATGAGGTGCAACTAGAGAACTGAACACAGATCATGTCAGCAAACTGCTTATGGAAATTATTCTAAATTTAGTTTTGGTTGGCTATGTATATTAGAATTCATTCCATATGTAACAAACTACAGAACTTGCAGTTGTTTTGTGCAATTGTCTACTGTCCTGGTAACCCATACCAGGGAACGATCTTAGTTTCCATGGCTAAGAGACCTGGAGTCACTCACATGCCTATACTCACTGCAGACCTCAAAAGCCAGGCAAATCCTACCCTGTCTAGCAACAAGCCGACAAGCTGACTGACACTGCTGCTATTCTGGCTGCTGGATTTGATTCTGCTGCTGCTGTTTTCTCAATTATGCTCGTGCTCAGGAATTATCTAAAAAGTCCTTCAATCTTTTTCTCCAGGAAAGGGCAAAGTGAGCTGCTGATGGGTGGCTAATTTCTTCACCCTGCAGAAAATGACCCTCCAGTTCCCAGGGTCATATTTGCTGTGCACTTGGGTAGAACAGCAGGAACTAACTTTCTGACTTAAGAACATCACTTCAAAGTTCTATGTAGTGACTTCATACCTATCACTAAGTGTCACCATATCACACTCTGGAACCTGTGAATAAGGTTCTCCATTGCCTTGTGTAGCCTTACTATCTCAATGTTGATTGTCAGGCACCCCATTTGAAGTCCATGGTGCAGATGGAAATGGAGGTCTCTCAAGCCAGCTTTCACAATATCTGCCCATGGGTCAAAATCAACATCACAGAGGTGAACCTGAACACCCCATCCTCATGGAGTCAGTTAACAAAGTACATACATATCCCCATACACTGTTTATAGAAAGGCTACTATCAGCACATCTATTTCAACATTGTGGAAGTCCAGAAGGAGAATTATGGTTCAGTCGTAGGTTACAATGGCCATGTGCGTCAAAGAGCAGCAGGAGGAGCTGTTCCATAAGGAAAGGTGAGGCAAAAAGTTAGCATCACCACAAGGCAGGCAAGGACAGCAAGACAGCACACTTCAGGTGTGCAGTCCCACCGCATATGGGCCAGCAGAACAGATGAGCTCGTGATGGTAACTAGGGACAGCCAGCAGTCCAGTGAGCACCAGACATGTCCATAGTGATAAGACATGCCCAAGATCAAGCCAGTAGTTCAAATCTACAGGTAAGGATCTGTACCCAGATCAGCTCAGCAGGTGTAAAGGTAGAGGCAAAGCTGCAGCATAGCTCAGGTAGAGACCAAGGGTGAGTACCCAGCTTAGAAGCAGCTCCTGCAAATAGAGGAGGCCAAGCCCCACTGAAGCTTCTCCCAGCAATTTGATTTAAAGTCAGTCAACTGCACTATGGAAGCTGGCTCTGAAACCAGGCAGCCAAAACCCCAGAAGCAGTGCAGAATGCCTGACCAAATTCACCATAGCAGTACCTGGGAACTTTATCAATGGGTCCATCCCAGTACCATCTTTCTATCGCCTGGTGGTAAAATGAATAATATCAGCACTATTCAACACAAGTAAATTCAAAGGGTTTGAGAAAGAAGACAGATTATTTAAAGAGAATTAGCTACCACAGTAGATGGGTAAATACATAAAGTAGTTCAGTGAATGTATAAAGAATAAGTGTACAGTGTACAGTACTCCAGTCTGTTTTAGCACGAGCATAGCCAGTACACTAAGGGAAGTGATTCTTTTCCTCCACAATTTTTAAGATAGTATCTGGAATATTGCATCCAATATTTAGGGGTGGGAGGTATTTTTCTTGTGACTGGAAACTACTAAATTAGTGGATAACACCAGGCTTGAACAGGCCACAGAGTTTTGGAAGACAGATTCAGAATTCAAAATCATCTTGACAAACTGGAGATGCAGACTGACAAAATACAGACAAGTGTTTATAGATATGCATAAACACATGCATATATACATTTGTGAAGACAACTGTAATAAAAACAAATGCCATGCTGGGAGATACAAAAAGCAATTTTTGTTTGTGGTACAAATTAAAGCATTGAACTCTTCTATGTAGCACTAATAAAGTTGTGCTGCAACTGTAAAATTGAAAGCACCAGCCTTTCAATTTTAAAATTAAACTAAAAGTTTAGAGAGAAGAAATTTGAAAAAGGGCTTACATGTGCAAAAATATTACACAGGCAAAAATATCTGAAGATACAGGAATAAATGTTTCTCGAAGTACATTATGGAGAGGGCAAGGAGTGGCGGGTTTCATAATTATAAAGTCAGATTCTTTTTACAATTAGAGTGTTGAAACTTAGACCAAAAAAGTCACATATATTCTCATTGCAAACTTTTTAAAAAAGTTTGAACAAGAAGCTGCAGGACTATCACAAGGAAAGCTGATCCTGCCTTGGGGAAGAGAAGTGAATGAAAGCACAGCTTACTCATCTAACTACATAGAAGTCTACTAAAAATGCAGTTGTTTCTGTTTCATCAGTCTGGGCGAAAATGTTTCCTAGCTAATTAGACTGTTCAGTGAAACGAAGTCTTTGGTACTTAATAATATCTCATAATCACACAGGAAATTATTTAGTTCAATTCAAAATATGTCACACTGCTGGGCAAATGCAAACAACTCCACTTTACGGATGCACTGACTCAAAACCACATACTGCATCAGGATCAGAGATAGGAATGGAGCTTGAGGTCTCCAGAACCCTGAGTTTAAGCCTTAACTACTGAAACAGAGTGCAATATCTGGAGATATGGAACAGGATGAAAAGGGTTAGAAGAGAAGACATAAAATGAAACCTTGATGGAAACAAAAAAGAAAAAAACTAGAGGGTTCTGCTCAGGAGACATGACGTCGCTTTTCTTTTTTAATGTGTCAGTCTCCTTGATTTCACAAGCATTGCTTTGTGATATTGCAAAATATGTGAAGAGCTTTAGTATCAAGTATGATCTAAAACACAAATGGGTACTGTAGCTTTGGGGACTAAACAGAAGAGATTTTTTTTATCACTGATGATACTTCACTATCTGGTCCACAGCTGTAACTAATGATAAATAATATGGATGTACTTCTATCTAAAAAAAAGTTGAAAAACAGTGTCTTCCCGACATCTTCTAAACTATTTCTTATGGCCATACACT